TTTTTTTTTTGTATGCGGGCTGGCCCGCCAACCTGTCAGCCCGTCCTTAGACAGGGCAGGCCAACATCCTTAGCTCGTTTTACATTAGCAGATCATTCCAGCTTTGCCGTTTTTAGCAGGTCAATGGTGGGCTGGGCCAAAATAAGTCAGGTTGGCCCGTTTTGCCCCTGCTACTATCTATATATAAATGTTTTTTTAAAAACACTTTGTGTCTTACTTTATATATAATAGCTCTCGTGTTCATAAGCATCTCTCTTTAGATTCTTCATGTCACAAGTGTGGCTATAGGAATGAAGATTTGGTACATGTTATGTGACTGGCCTTTATCTAAACAAGTGTGGCAGCAGCTGCAGTTGGATTAGGGTCAACAATTCCAAGGTGCGAATTGGGGACAGTGGTTGGTGACCAACATGGAAGGCTCGAATAACAACTTCCTTTTATGGAAAGAAAAGATGATGCAGTTTTCAATGAGAGTGTTTGGAACATACGGAGTGTTGTTAACCAAAATAATACTTTGCAATCAAGCATTCAAGTGGATTTCTAATTTACACCTCATCAGAAAATAGTAGGCACATTGGCTGGGAATCTCCAACTCAGCCTTTTATCAAGATTAACACTGATGGAACCTCTCAAGCAGCAGGCTTTGGAGGTATTCTGAGAGATGACTTTTGTGATTGGTTATCTGGATTTGTTGGAACTTGTGACTTTGTTACAGTTCTTAAAGCGGAACTACTGCTCATTTAACATAAAGGATTAGTGGGGAGGTTTCACATTTATATTATATGAATTCGATTCACAGTATGTTTTAAATTTAAAAAAGATTGTAATTTTTTTGTCCGTGCTACCCATCGAGCTCTTTGATAAGAGTCTTTATCTTTAGAGATGGTCTCTTATCTTGTTTCATATCCTACAAGAAATGTATGCGTAGAATTTAACTTGCTAAATAAGAAATTACACATGATGAGTTAACTACTCATAGAATGGAATGAGTGTTCTCCTTAGTCAAATTTATAGATGATAGAATATGAATTATTCATATTAGATTTTAGTTTGGTTAGAAGTAAGAGAATATACCTCTTCATTTTTAACCAGATCAGATTAAAGTGCCATCCATAATAGATATGATTTTAGAGTACGAGAATCTTAGTTTAAAGATATTATTATTGTGTGTAGATAATGTTAGATAGAAATCCTTGTCAGATCATTATATGTCTATTAAGATAAGGTGTCATAGATAAGGTTAGGTGGATGTCATTATCAAGATTTTATTAGTTACATATTTCTCACAGAACAAAAGGATCGTTAAACTGTATCATAAATTATTAACTTTCTTGGTACATAAAATTCTTATAAGAGTAATAATATAAACAATATACTTCAGTTTTCCAAAGAGAATGAGAAGATTAGAAGAAACTCATTTTTGAAGAAAACATTTATTTCATTCAAACAAGTTTGTTTCGAGTTATAATGCAATCCTTCATTTATAGAGGAGCATATCCACTATTGACAAAATCTATTACATGTCTTGCTAATAACATTTACCTATATTTATTTATAACGATAGGTGTGGTGTTACTTGTTATAGAATGCTCAAATTCTATGATGGATATTATTACATCTACAGTAGAATGTTCCATATTCTATGATGGGCAACGTCAATACCCATCATAGAATATGGGTACTAAAGTTCTACATGACCATTTTTTGTATCCTACTATGCCAGATGTTGACCACTCGACATAGAAAGTGAAGATTCTATGTCGGGTGTTGATCCATCATAAAATGTGTCGGCATTCTCTATTGTCGTGATCTGTAACACGTCTCGAGTCAAGAAAAAAAATGTTCAAAACAAATGCCCCCTTTCCCCACATGTGAAAAACTTCATATGGCATCCATTTAGAAGTTGCATTCCAACTCGTACTAATCTATATAATAGAGGTGTACCATGTCTAGTGTCTTGCCCATTTTATAAGACAAACCTTGAGAAAAATTGACATATTTTTTTTCAATTGCCACCATATAAGTGGCATATGGATATTGACCTGGGATACACTTCAACTTTCATATGCTAAATGTTGAATCTTTTAGAGAAGTGATCTTTGACTTCTATGACAAGGAAACTACTGATAGAACATCCCTATTCTCTCACATTCTCTAGAGCATTTGGAAGAATAAGAATGCTTTAATATTGACAACAAACCCATTATATTGAGGAGATCACTAAAGCCAAATAAGGACTATATAGTTGGAATAAGGCAAATCAAAAAGTCAAAATCCTTTCCCACACGACATGATGGAATCATGCCTAGGAAGGCAAGGGGTGACACACTAAAGGAGCCAAGACGAATGGGCTATACATGAAGGTTTGGACTAGTCAAGGCCTAATGGGCTCGATGGGCTTGGAAGGCCCAAGCTGAGCTTTTCATGGGCCATATCTTGTTTTAGCTATTTTCCTTATGTCTTGTATATATATCATGTTAGTATAGGTTTTCTATATTTTAGGTCTTGTATTTTGGACCATTTAGGATAGCATTTTAGGCTATAGGCTTATTGGGCCTAGTTTTGGGCTTCATGGGCCTTTGGGCTTTTGGTACCCAATATTGGGCTCATTTTCATTCTTGTAATTTTTCCTTTCCATTTTATTTATTTGGCCATTGTATTTGGGCTATTAGAATAAGAATTTAGAAGGATTAAGTATTAAAGCATGAATCATAGAATGTTAATTACATTTAGGAGTAATTAGAGTTTCATTTAAGTCACAAGTTTTGTGCCAAAGGTGGCTGCACATGTGTACACTCAAATGAACCCTAAATTACCTCTAAATGCAATTAGGATTCTAGAAGGGAGGGCTGCACATGGCATAGAGTAAGTGGACGTCCAATTTGAATTCAAATTCAAATTTGAATTCAAAATTGGTGCCACTTTAAGTGCACATGGGTTGGCTCCAAAAACTCCTTGATCCGTGGCTTTATATGCTTGAAACCTTCACTCTTGTAGACACTTTTGATGAATGATAATTCTGAATATTGCTTCAGCCTAATTCTCTCAAAGGTCATCGAAATACTCACCTTAGATTTAGGAAATCCTATTCCATTTCCTAGCCTTGAAGTGAGTAATCATTTGTTCTTTTAGCCTTGATGCTTCCATCTTGGTTATAGGGACCTTGATGATTTGGTCCAAGTTTGTATAAGGGTTGAGCAACAATTTCTTAGAAAATCCTTTAAAAATACCAACTCTAAATCTTATAACAAGGAAGAGCACAAGAAGGAGGGAAGTTCATTTAAAAATTATGTTAAAGAAAACCCCTCTAAAACTCAAGAACTTGACAAAGATGTGGAAAAGAAAAAGGTCACCTCACACACTAGTTCAAAGACGAGTGAGATCAAATGTTTTAAGTGTTTAGGAAGAGGCCACATTACCTCTCAATGCCCCACCAAAAAGACCATGATCTTAAGGGGTAAAGACATTTATAGTGAAGAATCCTCATCATCTTCCTCTTCTAGTGAAAGTGAAGAGGAAACTAGTGACCATGAATTAGAACAACTTTATCCTGTTGATGGTGATCTTCTTATGGTCAAAAGGCTTCTTGGAAGCCAACCTTGTCCCACTTCATTATCACAAAGAGAGAACATCTTTCACATAAGATGTTTAGTTTCTAAAAGACCTTGTTCTCTCATTGTTGATAGTGGATCATGTTCTAATTGTTGTAGTACAAGGTTGGTTAACAAGTTAGCTCTTACCACCATTCCTCACCCTCAACCTTATAAACTTCATTGGCTCAATGAAGGTGAGGAATTGGAGGTAAATCAACAAGTGAAGGTCAAGTTTTCTATAGGGGATTATAAAGATAAAGTTTTATGTGATGTGATCCCTATAGAAGCTTGTCATATTTTGCTTGGTAGGCCATGGCAATTTGACAAACATACTATACATGATGGCCTTACTAACAAAATATCCTTCATTCATAAAGATAAAGAAATTGTTTTTAATCCTTTAACACCACTCAAGTGTTTGAGGATCAAAACAAATGAAAAGAAAAAGAAAGAAAGAAAGAAAAGAATGAAAGAGTGAGGATGAAGGGGTCTCTTTTAAAGAATTTGTGACCAAGGAGAGTTATTTTATCACCAAACAAGCATTGAAACGTACTCTCTTTGTTCATAAAAGTCTTAACTCTCATCCTAATGCTGCCACTAATCTTGAAACGGAGAATGAGGAAAAATACAATTTTCAAATAAAGAATTTTTCAACTTCAAGATATAGTGAAGAAGAAGTTGACTATTTCTAGTTTTACTTCTTATACTACTTCCTTGGAGGTGCACAAGGAAGAAAGTATTTTTGTTTTTAAGATTCTTCCTTTTTTAGTGGTTTTAATAAAACACCCAATTTTTGGTTTACATTGTTTGATGGATACAAATTGTAATTATCTATATTCTATGTTTGATCCTATGGGAAGTTCTTACTCCTTTGAACTTAATTTGATTCCTTCCCTACGAGACAAATATAGTTTATATGATTATGAGTATCTAATAAGCAATCAAATCCAAAATTGTTTGAGAAGTTTTCTAGTAGTCTTTTCTTTATATTCTAGGAAAAGCCTAGGTTACCATTTAGGGTACTTTAGGCAAGATGTTTTAATTTTTAAGAATCATTCTTTTCATTGTATTAGTCTTAGTGTTACTACATTTTTAGGATTTCATTCTAGGTTATGCTTAGAAGAGGATCCTATTTCTACTTTTAGGGAATTTAATTTCAATAGTTTAGTTGTCTTTGTTAGACTAGATAAAAGGATTCCTCTTAGGATCCACAATCCATTTTCTTCACATGAACATTTCACCTCTTATACATTGTATGTTGTGCATGTAGGTGCTGATTCTTATCATATGGATTCTCGTGATTTGAGGACAAATCCTTTTCAAGAGGGAGGGAATGATGGAATCATGCCTAGGAAGGCAAGGGGTGGCACACTAAAGGAGTCAAGAGGAATGGGCTAGACATGAAGGTTTGGGCCAGTCAAGGCCCAATGGGCTTGGAAGGCCCAAGTTAAGCTTCTCATGGGCCATATCTTGTTTTAGCTATTTTCCTTATGTCTTGTATATATATCATATTAGTATAGGTTTTCTATATTTTGGGTTTTGTATTTTGGACCATTTAGGATAGCATTTTTAGGCTATAGGCTTATTGGGCCTAGTTTTGGACTTCAAGGGCCTTTGGGCTTTTAGTACCCAATATTGGGCTCATTTTCATTCTTGTAATTTTTCCTTTCCATTGTATTTGTTTGGCCATTGTATTTGGGCCATTAGAATAGGAATTTAGAAGGATGAAGTATTAAAGCATGAATCATAGAATGTTAATTACATTTAGGAGTAATTAGAGTTTCATTTGAGTCACATGTTTTGTGCCAAAGGTGGCTGCACATGTGTACACTCAAATGAACCCTAAATTACCTCTAAATGTAATTAGGATTCTAGAAGGGAGGGCTGCACATGGCATAGAGTAAGTGGACGTCCAATTTGAATTCAAAATTGGCGCCACTTTGAGTGCACATGGGTTGGCTCTAAAAACTCCTTGATCCGTGGCTTTATATGCTTGAAACCTTCACTCTTGTAGACACTTTTGATGAATGAGAATTCTGAATATTGCTTCAGCCCAATTCTCTCAAAGGTCACCAAAATACTCACCTTAGATTTAGGAAATCCTATTCCATTTCCTAGCCTTGAAGTGAGTAATCATTTGTTCTTTTAGCCTTGATGCTTCCATCTTGGTTCTAGGAGCCTTCAATTCATCTTCCAATCCTCTTCTTCCTTCATTCAATCGGTGGAAACTTCAAGGAAGAGATCTAGTCTTCGGAGAAGGTTTAAAGGAGCAAGCATCATTCACTTGATCCGTCCTACTTCCATCACGACACAATGGTAGCAATCCCCTAGGTGGATTCTCCCAACAATAGGTACCCTAAAATGTAATGTGGATGCAACCTTTTACAAGGACAACAACAACCTTGACATCAATATGTGTTTGAGAGATCATCACAAAGAATTCATAAAAGCTTTTGTAGATCACAAACCACAATGGTCAAGATTAGTTGAAGGGGAAGTATTAGCCGTACTCACGACCATATTTATGGATATCAAGAATGGGTGTAAACTTAATAATCTTAGAGCTTATATGCAAGTAAGTCTTAGATGAACTTTGAAAAAACTATCTCAAAAATTTTAAATTTGGCCTTATTATTTTACCACGTAATAATCTCCTGAAATCAATGTCATTTTACAAAATTGTTCATGCAAGGAGACAAACTAACTCAGTAACTCATACTCTAACAAGAGGCATAAGAAACTTCCCTTGTCCCATTCTATTAATCATGTAATCTCTTATTTTGAGGATCTTATCCTACAAGATATAAAATAAGTTCATTTTTCTAAAAAAAAAATAAAAATTTAACATCTTAAAAAATTTTATTTTAAAATTTTGAAATATACCTTTAAATAAAATATATGTTAAATATTTTTTTAGTTCATTGTCATTCACTCATTTGATAATAATATTAATATATATAATTTTAATTTAAAATAACTTATTAAAATAATAAAAAAAATATAAATTATAAAAAAATATTTTTATACTTATATAT